GGGTACTGGGTTCATGCATGTTTTACCAGATTCAATCAACATGTTGTCGTCCCGCAGCTTGAAGGAAAATCCATGGCACAAGTTCCCTTTCACTGGATTTGTTGCCATGTTGTCTGCCATAGTTACATTGATGATAGACTCAATGGCAACCAGTATATACACTAGGAAAAACAAAAATGAAGTTCTTCGTGAGTCTCAAGGTGATCAAGAGATGGCTGTAGTGCATACTGGGCATTCTCATGGTCACCATCACCATGGATCCAAACTCAATGTTGAGGGCTCACAACTTCTCCGTTATCGCGTAATTGCCATGGTAAGTAATTTTTTAAATCTCTCTCTCTATATATATACATACATGTACATACAGAATTGATATTCTAAACAACGATGAACCAGGTGCCATCACCTACTGTAGTGTGCTAGCCTAAGTTAAAGCTAAGCAATACATGCAGCATGCATTAATTTGTAGGGTAATTGGCGCAAAACGTCCCTACCTTTGCCTGTCTTTGTGGAAAACGTCCTTACCTTTCGTTTTTTGGTGCAGAACGTCCCTACCTTTCACATTCTTTGCGCTGAACGTCCTTTTCATCCATTGTTAACCTAAAATGACCTATATACCCTCCCATTTAAATAAAACAAAAAGGAAGAGAAAAGAAAAATAAAAAATAAATTGCAATCTTACTCCTAGACTTTTGTAAAAAAGCAAATCAGTCCAAAACTTATAAAATTTTAACAGCAAGAAATCAATTGCAGAGGAAGCAGCATATATGATTGTGAAACATTCCATTGATTTTACTATACATCCTTCTGTGTTTGCCGAGAAACTATGCATTTTCATCAACTATTATTCACTTATTCCATCACCATTTCTTAAGGCTGTGATGATTCATCTCATTCTTCCGAGCTCATCTATTTGGCATTGAGACAATCCGACCCATATCTTGGCATGGCGACCCGGATTGTACCTGATTTTAGATTTTTCTTTCTCAAGTGCAACTGGTGATTTTGCAGCCATGGCGTGGTTGATTCTCTTTGTCGATCAAAATATCAGATCTGAGCCTAACTTTCAAAATT